ACACAAACTTCGAATCGGGCCTCATCACTTCATTGTATTGCACACCATTGTTGAGGTGTCTATTGTCTATGTTGTTTAGCCCATCTAAGCCGATTTTTCTTTTGCAGTGGAGTTAATAGTGGCTTTTCTTTAGCCTATAAACAAGTTGTCCAACTTTTGGGTTTTTACTTCACTTTTGGGAAGGGGCTCGAATACAGTTTTTAACCCCATCTCTGACTTATTTGTTGAACAAGTCATGTTAGCAAGTCTTTCAAAAAATAAATAGAGGAACCATGACTTTTGTGAAAAGCAGTGTATATGAGATTCCATTGGATCTAGTGTAGGCGTCCTAAGGAGCTTCTGATTTTTGTGAAAGCGCAGTCTTCGCACTCACAAAGAGTCTAGCGTTACCCCATTCCTTATCTACTTTGTCCAGTTGATATTTTCATCACTCTGCCCTATTTTGTACAAGCGTTCGTTCTGGCAGTCTTGTCCTGATAGAAGACGCTCATTGTGTGCAGTCTTACTTCCGTTTTCGGGCATACTCCCTCGATAAGTTCTTCCATCTCTGTGTCAGTAGACTAAGTGCCATATCGTCAGTCGTTATTACAATTAAAGAATGCCTTTACGGTCCCCTTGATTTTCATAGTTTTTCTCTCCTTCAGAAAGGCTGTGGTATTTCTAGATTCCTACTATTCCGTGTCAGCGTCAGCGCTCTCATATTGTTGGGTTATGTTTTCATTTGGAAATGTAGGAAATTTTACGCTGATGTAACAGATGATATAAATCAAAAACATGAAGAATTTGATGCAAATAGTTATTTGCAACATTACCTCAAACTAGCGCGCTGACACGGAACAGTAGAAATCTAGAAATATCCCTGCTTTTCTGAAGGGCAGGAAAAACTATGAAAATCAAGGAGGCCATAAAGGCTTCATACAATTGTAGGAACAACTGACAATTCGGCCCTTAAGAGTCAATATTCTTTATGCTGTTGCGCTTTCGTCTTTTCTCTAAATACTTGTGTCTGGGTTTTGTCAGTATATTCTTTGTTAATCATTCTGTATGTAATTGAAGTTTTTTCACTGTTCTAAATATTCCACGGAGCGTAACAAACTCGAGATGATAATATGTTAATTGACACATTGAACGAGCTCGATGCATTATGAACGTGAATGCCTGCATAAATATTTCCTACATACAACGTGAAAATTGGAAAATGTTTACAGCACATAATGACGACTTGAAGCACATGCAACCGCTAATATGATATACAAATTGCATATATGTGTTAATAATTATGGAGTAAAGAGTAATTCCGGGTCATAATCCCGTAATAACCTCCTTGCTGAGCTGGTATTGTTCAGAATTTTTCTATCATGACGCTTCAAAAATCAAATCATCAAGATGACCAAGATCTGTACTTGAACTGTGTAATAATCACGGTACCTCAGTATTCACGCTTTGCCTTCTCGACTGTTCCAGCGTATCCTGCCTAAGTTATAGTAATTGTACATTTTGTGTGTCTCAAATTCGACTCTCACCATAGGGTTCTCGGAAACTTTAAGAGGTATGAAGTCGGTTAAATGGGCGCAAAGTTTAGGTATCTAAGAAAATGGCACTTTGAAAGTTTCGCAACTCTAGCTATCTTCGGGGATAGACGGAAGAAACCCCATTTTTCCATAATCGTTTTTATTTTTTCCTGAATTTGTCCGAGATAGGATTGCTAAATAAAAAGTACATTAACATTGCAACTTTTTTCAGATACAAGATAGCATAATCAGAATTTCAATATAACGTTTGGTCCCTTGTCCTCAATCATCAGCTTTATTTTTTCTTGTAGACACCATTTCGGATTTTAGCACAGGGGAAGAGTTTTTAATTCCAAAAATGTTTAATGTCATATATAGGCATTGCCCAGCATTAGTTAAAACCTAATTTCTTAAACAGGCCTCAACATTTTCAGATAGTCATTGGTTTCATAATATCGTCGGCCAAGGATTCCTCCAGTTTTGATGAGCTAGGCACTTTAGTTGGTACTATAAAACCTCGAAAGTCTAAAAACATATTATTCCGATAATTAGTCTTAGCCTATATTTTAAAGCCGTATACACAGTCGTTCCTATTTACTTTCCTTTTTCAAAGGACGCCTTTTTTGGCCATAGCCTCCCTGTTTCTCTTGCAGTTTTTTTCTCTCCTTTAGGGAGACAATAATTAGCTTTTTTTTGCCTTCTTGAAGGAGAGAATAATCTGTAAGAAAAAGGGAGGCCATCACCAAAAAAGGCGTCGGTCCAAGTAGGAAAGCAAATAGAAACGATTGTACATAGGCTTCTTAGAGTAAACAAAAGTCTCGACGATGTTGCAGGCTGCTAAACTCATTTCATATCCACCATATCTGAACCAATACACACATTTTGCATTTAAATAGTATTAAGGAACGGCTGAGGTGTCATGTACTAGTAGAGCGCCTTCATCGTGCTAAATTAGCGCATATAGTCGATAAATCGGCAAATAATCTGAATGTCCTTTAAACATGCTTCTCAAAAACTGAAGTAACGGTGATTTAATCGGATATAAACTTGTGCATTTTCAAGGCCGACTATGAAAATATTAGTTTTTTTAAAGTAACTTATGTTTGACAATGTCAATGTATAACGTATTATACATTTTTGGAATCGTAATTCAAAATTATTCACCCGTACAAAAATCCAATATGGTTTACATAATAAAAAATGAAGTTGATTATTGAGGGCAAGAGACGAAATGTCAAATTGAAATATCAATTATGCCGCCTTGTATGACTTCGAATCTCTTACCGTTTCCGCTTAGAGTCGAATTTGAAACACCCGGTATGCAGGATATTTGATAGTATCAAAATATGACAAATTCAATAATTGAATAACTGGAACATTGTGTGGTAGATAAATGCAGCATATTCGACAAAAATGTGGGACCTGAAATAAACCTCCATATAACGGGATTACCACGTTTGCAAATCGTTATCTGGATATATCCTAAAACGGTGCTGGTGGGCAGCCTAATAAAAGAAGACATGCAGTTGGATATACTTAAAACTAGCTTTACAATAAGTGTTCAAATAAATTCCCATCTTGTTGGATACAGAGTCTCGCTCGACGAACTAATGATTGCGTAGCCCGAAAAGTCGAAAACCTTTTTCTTCTTATTTCATTTGCAGCCTGATGGATTCTTTGAAGTAAATCTTCTTGAGTATTTACTTCAGTCGAGTGAACTAGGTCTTTTAATGACCCCCAGAAATAGAAATCCAATGGATTTAGGTCAAGTGAACGTGGCGGCCACGCTATAGGACCTCCCCGGCCTAACCACCTGTCTGGAAAATTGACATTCAACCAATGTCGAACATTGCGTCCAAAATGTGCAGGGGCACCACCATGTTGAAAAACCATATTTTCTCGAAACTGCTGGCGCACATCCAATGGTATTATATCCATGAGCTTATTCTGAGGAAAGTTCTGATACACCTCTGAATTAAGACTACTTAAAATAATATAATAATACTCCTTCCCATAAGTTCAATGAAAATCTATGTTGGAAATTTGTACGGCGAACAACTTTTGGATTTTCATCTGACCAGTGATACATGTTATGGAAATTAAAAGCGCCATTCCTGGTAAATATTGACTCATCCGACCATAATATTCTAGGAATAGTGTTTTCATTTTCTAATATCCACTGGCAAAACTCGATTCGTGGTAAAAAATCTGCCTCCGTTAAATGCTGCACCCGTTTAAAATGATAAGGATGTAATCCTTGCATTCTTGTCATTCTTCCTATCTCAAATTATTATTTTTAGGATAACTATCAAATAGGTATTCATAAATTTTTCTTACTATTGGTTGAGGTATATCCATAATTTCTGAAACATTTCGTATGCTTATTTTGCGATGATTTCCCAGTGGCCTTCCTGAGCCCTGCATGTGCTGAAAACTTCCATGGTTTGACAAATTCCGGTGAACATCAGTAAACATTTGACGTCCAGGTATTATGCGATTGGGAAATCTTCTTTGATATCCTCTTACGGCTGCCAATGAATTGCCATTGCAAAGCCCGTACACAAAATGCATGTCAGTCAGTTCTCTGTCTGTAAATCTAGGCATTTTAAATCGATTTAATAAAAATTTTGATTTTAAACTAGTAATTTTACACTGCTAACACTGTCAGCTTAACGTCAAAATAAGTCATAACAAATCAAAACAACTTTTGTTTGCAGTCATGGCTAACTATGTATAATCAACAATTCATTTAAATTCGCAGTACATTTCCTATCATGTGACAAATTTTTTAGTTTGATTTTATTCAAAAATGGCACAATTTATCGATATTCAATAAGAGTACCTTTTTTATGTAGAAAACCCTAAATTTTCAAATTCTAAAACCGAATTTCAAAAATAGAATCACACAAAAATTTTGGGGCTAAGGCTCGTATCGCCAGTCGTCCCTACAATTGTAGGGCGCCTTTATGGCCTCCTTGATTGTCATAGTTTTCTACTTCTCCGTGTCAGCGCTCTATTTTGAGGTTATGTCACAAACATCTATTTGCATCAAATTGTGCTTGCTTTTGAGTTATATCATGTTTTATCAGCCTGAAATTTCCTACAATTTAAAAGGAAAACATATCTTCACAATAGGAGAGCACTGACCATGACACGGGACAAGTGTAATCTAGAAATTTTTGAAGGAGAGAAAGGACTATGACAATCAAGGAGGCCATAAATGCGCCCTACAATTGTAGGAACGACTGACGATACGGGCCTAAAATAACCTGAGTCCATCCCTGTTACATACGCTTCCAAACAAAACTGTCTAAAATTGTTAATATTTTTAAATCCAGCATAAAAACTAGGCTAGAATACCAAATTTTATGTCTTTATCTCAACACGTTTCGAAAATATTAAGGGAAAACCATCTTCAGGGGAGCCCCTTTAAAAGACCGTAGCGCCCTTAGGGGACGTTTGTCGACCTATGTTTATATAAACTTTTCCTATTTTAAGCTCTAGAAATCGCTGGTAGAATATACGAAATAATCAAATGTACTGTCACTGTTCTCATAACAATATAATGTAAGATATAAGCATCATCTTCATTTCAGCTCATAAGATCCAGATATATTAGCTCTTTTTGATTGCTGATAGATTATAGAGCATGTCTTATATCTGTCTATTATCTGTGAAATTGCCAAAATGGTTGTTAAATATTATTAAATACTACTATTCTTTCAAGTTTAATGTATTAGAAAAACTAGTCTATTATATATTAAGAGTTTACCTGGTGCTTACTGCAGGATCAAACAAAGAACGAGAGATGAGAGGAATCGCATCCTGCTTGAGTGTCTTTTGTCCCTCACTTCCGTAAACGAACGCATTTTCTCCAAAATGCTTGGAACATAGCTCCACCCACTTAGGAAATTGATGGTTTTCGTCGAATCCAAGGGCCGTCAACCACCTTTTTCTCCTTTCCGGGGTCTTGGGAAGGCTAGAATTTCGAATATTACAGCTATAAATCGAAAGCTATCAACAGTTGACGTATTCTTTAATTCACCAGTTGAGACACCGGTGCAAGCAATTAACCATTTTTTCTTCTTTTAATTTCGCTCAGACGGAAATTTTGGTTGCACCGGTGGCTCAACCGGTGAATTAAAAAATACGACTAGTTTATCGATAATGAGACGCCATGCGTCTCTGAACATAATCATAAATGGGATGTATACTTACGAATGAAATGTTAAAGATTTCGCCTGATGTTTATAAATTTTACACAAATAGCACTGCTGCACCATTTTATTACCATTGAATATACCTTTATAATCTCTCTAAAATGGATAATAATGGAAGAAACTTGAATCATAAAAGCAGCAACGAAATTCACTATCAAAACAAGCTTTGACAGTTAACACAAAATGGCAGTTGTTTAATAACTGAAATAAGTGCTACCAATATACTATTTTCTTACCATGTGGATAAAATATGAATAAACAGATAAAAGCAACGTTGCCAGATCTTCAAGTCGATTATGGTATAATTTATGTAAGATTATTACTTGTTTGACTATTTTGATATCAATCCATTGGACGAGAATCATGATGTTAAGTACCCACACATGCGCTGAAAAATCACCATAAACACGGAATAATTTTAGTTATTGCAGGTTTGAGAATGTGTAGAACGACCACGAGCAAATCCATTGTTTTGCTGCCGCATCTTGCGGCGAGGCAACGTGTCCATTCGCTTTGTATATGTCGTCAACAACCAGAAATATAAACAAAGGGGTCTATACTCGTTCTAAAGTCTATGATGTGGACGTACTCGTTTATTTCATAAACCTAATAATACTCCATAATGCTTGAATTGCAGTTCATATTTTACTGAAAATGAGCTCAAACCCAATGTTGTACCTCACTTATTCAGTAAACCCAGGCAAATTAAGTCATTAGCAACCTTTAGATCATGCACCCCTTTGTTTCGTTATCCGAATAACCGCAATAAATCCACCTCGTGGGTTTTTTAATTGCCAGCTCTTGAAAAGAAACGCCTGCAAGGCAAAAATTTATTCCAACCCTCTGGAGTGTATGGCGTTGATAACCGTGAATATTATCTAAAAGCGAAGAGACTCACGTAATGTTTTTTGTTTAAGGTCACATATTACGAGAATCTACTATTGTTATTGATCATTTATCTTTCATATAGCTTCATTCTATGCACAACAATACAAATTTTATATGCAAAAAAATAATTGTCACACTTTAAGATATAATTGAAATTGCTTAATTCCCGATTTTTTGTGTATTTAACTTTCACGTTGGCCTAATCTTTCTATCACTTCCGAAAAGGGAGATTACCTTTGCGTTATGCTGCCATAATACAAAAATACAAACTATGCAAAAATGTCTACGATGTTGATGAGATGAACATCTACGCTCAACAGTTACTTGATAAATAGACAAACTGTGGGTTATCTCACTTAATTTTATAAGCATCCTCTACGGCTCCAAGAGGTACCTAATTTGACCACGTATCGAAAACTTATCACAAATAAAATTTCTGATGTCTTTCATTATTGTTGGTTAATAATTTACACATCTAAGATATCTGTTTTCAAAAATTATCTGCTATGATCCGACATAGTGTTGCTGAAATATTATCAAAGTAATACAAAAAAAAATTATAAACAATCGTACGGAGTGCAGCTCAGGCTGCAGCAGATATGTGAAGTTATGTATTTCAGCTACAGAGAGGGGAGCTTAAATCCATCTCAGAAGCTGCTACGACTGTTGGGACGTTTTCGCGGTCAAATTATGTCTTTAGTGAGCTAAAATATTACATATCATCTTTAGTGAGCTAAAGTATTACATATCAAAGGTATGGCTACCTGACAGTCTCTTCCATCCATCAAAATCAAGTGTGCGAATAGGTGCCATCACTAAAAAAAACTATTAAACTGCATCAAAATATCGCGTTTCCAGGTAATGTAAAGGTACGTTTATACTAGAGATTTATATCATTATAGATATCTCAGGTATCGATAAATAAATTTCCTTGCAAGTTTTCACTACGACATAAGTGTCACGCAATAAAATGAGGCCTTCTCATTGTGAGGACATTCAAATGATTTGTCCTTCGGTGTGATAAGAGGGTAGCTTTTAAATATAAAAGAAAGCGACCTTTTTTCAATCGGATATCTCTTTATTATTTTGACCCTTAATGCGTGTACTATAAACATAAGAACCAAAATAATGAATGCGATCCTTGAGAAAAGCAATTAAGTAATTATTTGGAAAGAGATTTCAAAATGTCACAATTCCATGCATTAAGGCTATCAAGGCAAACAAAGCTTCCTCACAATAAATAACAAACTACCAAGTAAATTTATAATAAATCTTATTAGCGCAAATATTTATTCCACCCGCCAGAGCATTGCTCTAATAACCATAAATAACTGGAGAGACGAAGAGACAGCTATGAGGCCATGACGGTGTCCTTTGAGAGCGATTAACCGCGTGGCATAAAAAGCTACTGTTACTTCATTAGATAAATTAGTGATGCATCATCTTGTTGCGTGGGATGGGTAGGAAAATAGGGGTGGGAGTGGAGCCTAATGACCCAGATTATCATGACGATGCCCGCAGGTGAATGCGGAATATGCCTGAGATGCTTAGTCTGGTGCTGTGTGGAATCTGCTCTATTTAGCAATAATTGACTAAGGTAAAAGCCATCAGATATGAACGGCCGAGCACCTAGTCCTCTACTGTATTCTGTAATGGAGAATCACAACACTTCGTGTAAACCCTTTTAAGACCCTTATACATTATTCCCATGGATTTCACAGGTATCGATCGCCAGACACCCCAAAACGGATGCTGTGTCTTGTCATCCTGTTCACATCATCATATTATGGAAATGTTTCTTTAGCTGACAGTGCCTAGTCGCAATAGCAAACCAATATTATAGCTAAGAAACTATCTTGAGATAGACAGCAAGACGTATTATTATTAGTTATTATTTCCAAACTTTTTGAAAATTTTTATGGCAGTACCCTTCTAATATTCTAGTTTCAGCGGTCTTTTTGCTCTCCTCGGCTACTGTCGGTAATCGCGAAAATTTTCGACAATGATTTATTAGATTCTTTAGATGTTATTCGACATGTACATCACGAGAAAGTGCGAAAAAGCTTAGGTGTTTCTGAAAAGCGGTCCAGTGACGGCAGGATTAAAACAAACAAAAAATGCTCAAACATCTTTTATGAAGTGATGAAGTCGTTGCGTGGTGTCTTTGAACAGTTAATTACACTGCACTCAACCAACATTGCTGGTGCTGTGAAAAAACTAATTATAAGTAAAATTTCCAGAAATGTTTATTATATCGATCATTCAAAGTTTATATCTATAAAAACCAATGATATAGATAACGCGTTAGCATTGCTTATATTGAAATTTTTTTATTATTCCAAAATTTAATAGTTTTTACTTCCTATGCCAAAACTGGTGGGGGAAGTATTGTAATCGCGGAAAATTTGGAAACTGAGATATTGTTTTTTTGATGACATGTACATCACGAAAAACCATATCACTTATTTCCATCTGTGTGTGGGTCTATCTGTCGGTCTGTCCGCTAATTTGCCTATAACTTGAGAAGTACCGCTCGGATTTGAATGAAATAAATGTTCACACCAGGTGACTACTATGTCAGGGATGAAAAAGCTTTGTAGTTTTTGAAAATCGCTTAAATTTTGTTTTTTGACTTTTCAAAGACTCCTGATAATTTTTGTAGGGGTTGAAACTTGAGGGTTGGGGTTGCAGGTTGTAAATGTAGTCTTTTATCATTAGTCAAAGACGTTCTATCATTAAGAAGCTTCTGATTCCGGTAACAATGGGAAAATAAAGTGATGAAAGTCCTATGTATATAGTACTTAATAATAGGTGTATAATTCCAAACAACATCGTCGTGGAGGGCACTACCGACTATGTAATAGATAACAAACTCCAACTGGACTGCGGTGGTGTCGTCACTGACATTCCGCTACAGGAGAAAAAAAATATATATATATATATATACAGGGTGACTTCGAAGTTGAGTCATTTATTTTAACAGTGAGTAGATCTGATCAAAAGAAATGTTTTTTTCCTTTACCATTTTTCTGGTAAAATTAAAGTAACAAAGTTATAGCCCTTTGGAAGTTTGAGTACCGCCCTGTCTCAATAATAATATCATGTACTCGTGTTTGGCAACAACGGATATAATCCACCTTATCGGTTCATCGCATGGGAAACAAAAAAGCGAAAGAATTTGGAACGACGTTTTTATTTCATTCAGTTCAGTTATACATACAATCAGTATCAGTCGCGTGTGAATAGTGTCTGTTGCGTGGCTCAAACGAAATAAAAAATGGCACATGTTTATGCGGATCGGTTTCCCAATCGAGTGCAACCAACCCCTCGTGCCTTTGTTAATGTAGTACAACGGGCTCGTGAATCAGGTGACTTAAGACCTCACAGGGCACCTCACGATCAAATACAGGTCCGCACTGAAATACTTGTTGGGAGGATACTTTATAAAACAAGGTAAAAAAATTTTTTTATTTTTTTTTTTATTTTTACACACATATTTTGGTTTATCTTCCTCTACAATCATTATCTGAAAATTAATGACTCAACTTCAAAGTCACCCTGTATATATATATATATAGGTGAAAAATTAAAGCTTCCGCCTTCTGTTGGGTACTTCGACAAAATTTAAGCAAAGAGGACTCTTTATACTTTTTTAATTCTCTCTAGCTTTCAATGGACTTTGCCATCATCATCAGGAGAGTAGTATGTGAGGATGTTGCTAATTGTTGTTTACGTATAGGATGAGGGAAACGTCCAGTAACATGGTGAGAGCTGGATAGATGGTACAATGGTCAAAATTATATAAAATATGACAAGAACAAGTTAAAAACAGATTAAAAATTATTTAAAAACATTAAAGCATTACATCGTGAAGCCACTTGATGATTGCACAAAAATGATTTTTGTCCTCTTTGCTTAAATTTTGTCGAAGTACCCAACAAAAGGCGGAAGCTTTAATTTTTCACCTAACTGGTCTAGACGGCAATGACCACGTCTCAATTTATATATATGTATATACAGGGTGACTTTGAAGTTGAGTCATTAATTTTCAGATAATGATTGTAGAAGGAAGATAAACCAGAATATGTGTGTAAAAATAAAAAAAAAATAAAAAAAAATTTTTACCTTGTTTTATAAAGTATCCTCCCGACAAGTATTTCAGTGCGGACCTGTATTTGATCGTGAGGTCCCCTGTGAGGTCTTAAGTCACCTGATTCACGAGCCCGTTGTACTACATTAACAAAGGCACGAGGGGTTGGTTGCACTCGATTGGGAAACCGATCCGCATAAACATGTGCCATTTTTTATTTCGTTTGAGCCACGCAACAGACACTATTCACACGCTAACCGACAGACACTGACTGTATGTATAACTGAACTGAATAAAATACTTAATTGCAAAAACATCGTTCCAAATTCTTTCGCTTTTTTGTTTCCGATGCGATGAACCGGTAAGGCGGATTATATCCGTTGTTGCCAAACACGAGTACATGATATTATTATTGAGACAGGGCGGTACTCAAACTTCCAAAGGGCTACAACTTTGTTACTTTAATTTTACCAGAAAAATGGTAAAGGAAAAAAACATTTCTTTTGATCAGATCTACTCACTGTTAAAATAAATGACTCAACTTCGAAGTCACCCTGTATATATATATATTTCATCCTACTTATG